CACACCTGCCTGCTGGCTCCCCACCTGGGCGTGCTAAAACCAAGCCTGCCAGTCAGCAAACCCCACTGACACCCACAGAGCCTGCTTGCAGCTCAGAGAAACAGAAATAGTTCAAGAAAGAGGAAACCTAACAAACATTTAAAAAAACTTTCCACACATCAGAGAGATTCAGGAAAGGACTTAAACAAATAAGGTATTGTGATAAATGTTCAGAGAAGAAGCTCTTAATGTATTAAAATATGACTGACCAAAATTTAAAAGATCAATAAGATTGCAAAAAGCCTGAGAAATCTCTCAAAAGCGCCCAGTGAAAAATAAAGGGCAGGTCATGTTGGTGTTCCTAGCAGCAACGCCAAACGTTGGAAGATAATGCAGCGCTGTCTTTAAAAGTGCTAAGAAAAAGTTATATTGAACTTAAAATTTGATATCCAGCCAGACTCTCAAACAGGCATGAGAGAAAAATAAAGGTGTTTTCTGACATTTAGGGAATCCATTCTTTTGGTAACAACAACAACAAAAATTGCTTGAGGAGGTACTTCAGCAAAATAGAAAGGAGCCCGAGATAGAGGATGATGGGGGACCCAAGTACCAATGGGTCTAGCCTAGGAGAACAATGAAAAGAGATCCCAGAATGACAGTTGTACAGAAGATAAGGAAAGAAGCCAGTACATATTCGATTGTTCCACAAATAGCAAGGGGGGAAAGGCAATTCGAAACGCAAGGAAAAACAAAAAGACTACTGCTCTCTGATGGCCACCTGGACATAGGCTGGTGGAGTTGACAGCCGCTCCCAGCCTCTGCTGGGCCCTGCTTTCAGGCCCTTGGCAGCATGAACGCCATCCCAGAGCTCGGGTTATCCACACTCTGCTGGGGGTGGGGTGGTGTGGGTGAGAGGGGACCGAGTCTCCCCCTCCGAAGCGCCAGCCTCCAGGGACTGCAGCCTTCACCTCGGTCCTTCTACAAGGTTATTTCTGCATCTCCACTTGCTCTCAGTTGCACAGCTTTGGAGTCTGTAAATCTGGATTCGAATCTCAATTCTATAAACTAGCTGTGTGGCCTTGGGCGAGTCACATAACCTCTGTGAGCCTTGGTTTCCCCCTCTGGGGAAGATGGAGTTGATTTTTTTTTTTTTTAAAGATTTTATTTATTTATTTGACAGAGAGAGACACAGCGAGAAAGGGAACACAAGCAGGGGGAGTGGGAGAGGGAGAAGCAGGCTTCCCGCAGAGCAGGGAGCCCGATGTGGGACTCGATCCCAGGACCCTGGGATCATGACCTGAGCTGAAGGTAGTCGCTTAACCAGCTGAGCCACCCAGGCGCCCAAGACGGAGTTGATTAACAGTAATGACCTTGTGAGGTCTTGTTGTGACGATTAAAATGAAAATAATGCAGGGGAGATGTGGGGCCCAGTGCCTGGCAGGTAGTAGGTGCTTCATATTTTAATCTGTTATTAGACCACTTTATTCTTTTAAATAACAGCATGCATGGACCATAGATTCCTAACTCAGATCTTGTGGGGGATCCAGAGATGGCTCAGTGGGTTCGGGAGTTCCCTAAGATCACATGTAAAATTGAGTGAAGGTATTTATATGGGCATTTTTAGGAAGAGGAAGGCTCATTGTCGTCAGTGCTTCTCATAGATGTTTATGGTCCCTGCTCTGCATGGTCCCTGGCAGCTGCTAGGCTCAGCGGTGACTCTGCTGTGGGAGAGACTCGGGTAGAGTTTCCTCTTTGTCTCCTACTGTGTTTCATCCACTAATTCTTGTTTTGTCACTGTATTTTTTTGGGGTTCAATCTTCCTATTTTTTCCTCTACTTACTCTTCTCTCTTAAGTGGAAAAAAGGACTTGCAGAGAGGTAACTGTATAAGGGAAAACACAGTTTCCCCAGGTATATAGCACACTGCCATGTGTGTGTGCACACGTGTGTGTGTGTGTGTGTGTGTGTGTGAGGCAGCGTGTCATACGTGGGATTCAGTGAGTCCCGAAGCAGACCCTGTTCAAGAGGTTTCGTTGGCTGGGGATCCCAGGAAGCACTGGGAGGAAAACGGACAAGTGAGGCAGGGAAGGAAGGGAGCCAATATGGGGTATGTCAGTGAGCGGGGTACCGCCGTGGGCTACTGGAGCCCTGCGCTGCCGGGGACTTCGGGGGCATGGTGTGGAACCTGTCTCAGATTCGTCCCACCGTAAGGGTAGAGATGCTGGGGGGTATTTATCCACCGACTCCTGTTTGTTGTCAGCTAAGGGCTGTCCCCAGGGGCGTTGACTGCCCAGTACTCCTGGGCCGCTCTGTGCATGCCTCAAGCAAGCTCCCGCAGCCGGAGGAAGCCCCCCGAGGCAGAGCTGCTGGGTCCTGCGGTGAGCGGCCACCTGCAGAAGGGGCGCAGGCTGACGCTTACTGTATGCACTGGGGTCAGCCCTTCTCGGTCCTGCTGGGTTAGGGCGAAACAGTGCTCTGAGCCACCAGACAACCATGAGCGAAACCTTTATTTTTCAAGCCCTCTCCATGAAGGTCACCCACACTGCATCTGAGCAAATATATAAAAAGCATAACCTATTGTACAATAATTCCAACTTCTCGACTAAGGCACTGTACAGACGCCTGCCGGGCCTTGGTCCTCAGCACAACGGATGTGTTTCAGGGGCAGCAGCTGCACTTGTCCGAGCCCCCTTTGCAGACGCAGCCCCGGGCACACTTGGCGCAGCCGGGGGGGCAGCAAGGACAGCAGCCTGGAAGGGTCAGGAGATGGACAGGTCAGTTTGGGTGTCGACGCTCCCCTCTTACCACGTCCTCTCCCACCACTTAGAGAAAGCAGGAAGGGCAGAGCAGGCCACAGGCTTCAATCCACATTAGCAGAAAACCCCGGGGCAGCAAGCTGTGGGATGCCAGTGCCAGGAGGGATCTCAGGGGTCATCAGGTCTACCAGCTGCCCCAGCGAGGGGAAGCGGCTGGCTCAAGGTCACTGGTCAGTGGCAGATCTGAAACTAAAGCCCAGAGCTCATGACTCTAGGTCAGTGCTCCGTCCCTTTCGGCACTGGGCATAGCCAGACCTCCCTGCAGCCCTCTTCCTCCGCGAACACCGGCAACCCGGTGGACGCCCTCACCCCCAGGTGAGGCTGCCCCCCTCAGGAGCTTTGCCCGAGGCCTCGGCTCAGCTGTCATCTCAGATCCCTCTCAAATGGGTCCAAGGCCTCCAGAACCCGCTTCATCCCACCATGGCTGGTGGGTTGGGAAGGGAGGGAACAGACTTTCCTAGCTTCTGGCCAGCCACATCCCCGCTCAGCATAACTCACTTTTCCGGCATGTTTTACAGTTGCAAGTTGTACATTTGCAGTTGTCTCCGCAGACGCAGATTCCTCCTAGAAGAGAGGACAGAGCCCCAAGCGTGAGGACTGGGGTCAAACGGGGACACGAGGTGGCAGGGTTTCTGGGCTGTCCTTGGGGAGTGGCTGGACAAGAGGATGAAGATGCTGCCGAGCATCCCCCCCACCCCCGCCCCAGGGCATGGGCCCTTGGATGGTTCCCAGTCACAGTCCCCGGATGGAAACTGAGGTGGCTGCATTGGGCCCCTCAGCCGGATACTTGCTAAAATGCAGATTCATGGGACCGACCCTTGAGATATTCTGATTCATAAGTCTGGGTGGGGAAAGGGAATCATATTTTTCTTTCTTTCTTTTTTTTTTTTAAGGGAATCATATTTTAAAAAGTAACCCAGATGATTCCGATGTACGATTGGGTTTGAGAACCACTAAGACCAGGCCAGGTCTACCAAGCCCAAGGTCCCCTAGGGACTGTGGAAGCCTTGTATACCCTCTTCACCTTTTCAAGGTATCAGGCAAGATGGAAACCCTGAATGGGCAGGAGAAAGAACCGGGGACATAAATAACCCCAAAATGAGAGCTGTAGCTGCAGCTTGTTTTCATATAAAAACCATCTACACTTAAAAAAAAAAAAATCATCCCACCTATCATTTGGAGTGTCAAATTTTGAGTGTCAAAATGCTGGAAGTTTCTGTCTCTTTGGCAAGTTTGGGGTACAGACATGTCCTGCTAAGGACCAGAGAGGCTTAAGAGAATTCTTGATACCATTTCCAAAGGCCATAAAAGTCCAAGATGCCTCCAAACTCTGACCTCTCTCCTCCTGCGTTATGTGCTTCCATGGAATTAAGGGGTTTCAGAGACTCTGGAGCCCACATACACTTCTAACGACTCCCTTGACCTCTGCAAGTGCCTTATGATTTTAGTACTTTCTTAGCCAGCCCTGGGAGGTGGGCAGTTGAGGAGGAGTGATCCTAGTTTTCAGAGGAGGGTATGGAGGTTCAGAAATATGAAGTGTCAGGAGTGAATGGCAGCAGGGGACCCAAACCAGATTGCCAGGTCCTTAGCTCTGGTGGCTGCCCTTAGGGGCCTGACACTAAGCGCCCCCTGAGCCAGGGTCTCAATTCTAGCAAATCAGGCTGGTAGGCAACAGAGTGGGCGCTGCCCCAGAGGTCGCTGGTCCGAGACAAACCCCCTTGGCAGCTCCTAATTGGAGGAAGAGAAATATTCATCAGAGCCCTGTGGGCTCCATATCGGAAGTTGGGGCAAGGTTCCAGGACCCCCGAGCAGGCATCCTTACTCACCAGACATGCAGGTGCATTCCCCGGGGTCCATGGTCCAGGTGTCCCAGAGGCTCCAGCACTATCACAGCTGGGGAAGAGAAGCTGAGTAAGCAGCTGCCGGAGGCTCCCTATTTATAGCTGTGTAGGTGTGCACTTGGGCGTACCCCACCTGTCCCCGGGGCCAGACGCCCTGCACACGGCCCAGCCAGATGCCGCAAGCTGGGGGTTGGAGAGAGTGGGCAGAGGGAGGGCAGAGGAGAGGGAGAGCAGTACAGTCATTTGGATGCTTCTCACAAGGGGTGCAGATGGCTGAACCCACCCATCTACCCACGTGTCAAGGTGTCAAGGAGCCAGGCTCAGGCTTCAGTGGCACTCAAAGTGCTCAGATTGGCAGCCATACCTGTCCGGTTTCCAAGTCCTCTGCAATCTGCCATTTCTGCTCCCTCCTTCACAGGGCCTGGCTCAGGGCCTTATTCTGTTTCCCCTGGTCATGAAAGCCCTTACCGTGGGCAGAAGGGGGCCCCTATCTGGGGTCTTGGGCTTTAGAACGTCCCACTCAGGCCTTCTCTTGGCATGTCCCCCAGACTCCCTGGGTGAGAAGGACAAAAATCAGGGGCAGTGTGCAACCTCTCCTTCTAGACCACACACATGTAATGCTCTGGCTTCTGGAATTTTCTCTCATCCCAAGCCAGCCTGCTTCCAAAGGTTTGCTCAGACCTCTGCCCCAGGCTCCGAAGGGTAGATGCTCAGCCAATGTGTGTCCCTCTAGGGCTGAAGCGTGGCTGGAGGTAGCTGTGTGCTGGGGGTATGAACAGTTTGGATGTGTGGGCTTGGTGCCCACAGGCGTGCGTGAGGCCTCTCACAGTGAGGGAAGGAGGAAGGGATGGAAAAAGACTGGATGTGGGCCCCAGACTGGAGGTTGGGGCCATGGGGCAGATCTCTCGGCACCTTCCGGTGTGAAGATTTGAGAATTAAACATTGAACCTGGCCCTTCAGGTTGCTATGAAGCTCTCTTTGTCAGGGTAGGGGGATAGAAAGTATTTTATGTGTTCATTTGATTTATAACTTTTAGATATTTGCAGTGACATGTGAACCTTCATTTACACTCTTGCTCTGCCACCCACCCCCAACATTAGGAGGGGCCTGGAACCAGCCTCCTGTGGTCTTGCCTGCTCCTTTTCATTCTCCACCTTGCCCCAGAGATCGAGCCCCCAAATAGCATTGGCCATGTTATTTTCTTGCTCAAAACCTTCAGTGGCTCCCACAATCTGCTGAATGAAGCCCAAACACCTTAGTCTTGCATTCCAAGCTCAACTTACCTTTCCAAGGTCACTGTCCACTCCTTCCTTCTACCTGTTCCACCAAAACCTAAGGACTCCAGGCTCCCTGTACTTGGCCTTGAGCTTTTCCACATCCAGGCTTTTGCTCCTGTCAGGTGTTCATCCTTTCCCTACCACCTTGAGTCCAGATAAATGCTCCTCATTTACTGAGGCATGAGTCAAATGCCATTTCTTGGGTGGGAGAAGCAAGGTGGGGGGGCGCTGGGGGAGAATGAAGCCCCCCAGTCTCATCATGATCAGGCAGCTGACAGATATTCAGTCTTACGGAACAAACCCTCCTGATGACGCCGCTTCAAGCTGCCTCCAAAAGCTGCCACCCTCACCCGCTCCCCATGTAGAAATTCTGGAGCTGCTGCTGCTGAGCCTTGCTCCAGGAAGCTGTCTCTGATTCGCCCTTTCTCGACTGGAAGAAACCTTTCCTTCTGTGACCCCTCAGTGGCCTGTTTGTGTCTCTCTCATGCAGTTCACTACTTTTTCCTCCACTGTGTGTGTTCATGGCTCTTGTGCTCCGTGCCCCAACCTCGGAGCTCTAAGAGGCAAGACCTGTTGTCTGAAGCATCTCGATTCTGCAGTGGTCTGCAAGTTTAGGAGATGAATGAATGAATGAGACGAATAGTCAGATGACTGAAGACATGAGTGAGCACGTGAGTGGGCATGGGAGTGAACAAATGAACGAGTGAGTGAGTGATAAATGGACAAATAAATGCACAAGGCTCCTGCATGTGGGTACTGAGGACCTCTACTGAAAAATACTGTCACTGTGCCGAAAGGCAAAAGAGATGGGGCATGGCCAGAACCAATGGTGATAGCTCCTTCCATTAGTAAATTGCTGGGGTCTCTATCACTTATCCAGAAGGACTGCTGGAAGCATGGGTTTGAGCTGAGAAGTTCTAGGGAGGACAAAGGCATTCAGCCCTATGGGCATCAGCAAAGCACAGGGAGGATGGGTAGGGGCAATCTTGTACTGATCCATAAAAAGGCCCTGCCTGCAAGGAGTTCACAGCCTTCTAGGGGATCGAGGCACATTCCATTCATTCACCTCCTTCTAAGGGCCAGTACTGTGCTGGGTACTGGGGAGCGAAGGGTGAGTAACACCAGAGCTTGTAGTTGAGAAGGTCAGGAGGACATCCCAGGAAATCTCTGCCTGGGCAGGGCTGCTCTCAGAGTTCAGAGGCTGGTTTCGTCCTCCTGGGCCCGCATTCCCAGCCCAGTTCCGACCCACGTCTTGGCAGGACCAGCCTCCCCCCACCTCTTCTGTGTGTGTCCTGCAGCAGACATCAATGCCTTAGAAGGTCTAGCCCAACGCATGAGCCCAGAGCAAGGAAGGGATTTTCCTTCACCTTCGTCCAAACCAACTCTCTTCCCTCCTTCCTCTCTGAGCCAGGAATGGCTTCGTCCTCAGATGATTGACACTGTGATGTTGCTTAAGGCCCCAGCGGAATGAAAATCTCAAAATTCAACCCCGTAGGTAGCATGAAGCTATTTCCCAGGTTCTGGGCTGCGCAGATTGAAACGACCCCGTGTAGCATCGGGCAGTCAAGATCATGTTGAACTCTGCCCCAGGCTATCCTGTCCCTGTTACACAGTCCTTCTTCCAGTGCCTGGGGAAGCACACCCACAGGTCCCTTTTGCCCTTTTGCCTGTCTTCTGGGTCTCAGCTCCAGATCTTTGCATGGATCATAGAACCAAAAATACACACACCACCCCAAGAATGTGCAATTGCTGCAGGTGTAGCTTAAACGTGCACTTAGAAAATTAGTATTTCAGGGTCACCTGAGTGGCTCAGTCAGTTAAGCACCTGCCTTCCGCTCAGGTCATGGGATCGAGTCCTGCATACAATACAATGCCTTTGTCCTCCCTAGAACTTCTGGGCTCCCTGCTCAGCAGGGAGTCTGCTTCTTTCTTTTCCTCTGCTACTCCCTGCCCCATCTCTCAAACAAATACATAAAATCAAAAAAAAAAAAAAGAAGAAAATTAATATTTCAAAGAAGTATTAATTAATTGTCAAAGATGTGATTCTTCGCTTTCTTGGGGTATTCAAGGAGCCCTAGGAAAATCTGATGAAAGCTCTCGATCCTCTACCCAGAAAAAAAAAAAAGCACAAAATACATTTCCCCCACAAGTTCAGAGGTTTGTGCATCTCTTAAATCTCATTGGTGAACCCACCTCCCACCCAGGCGCCATACCCAAGGGCTCCCAAAGTAAGAACTTCCCTGCAGAAAAGCAGTCCAGCCTGTAGCAGCTCTCTCCTTATCCCACAGTAGCTGGAGCTCCTTTGAGCCAGTCCTAAATATCTCCTTGTCCAGGTATGGCCTCTTTTGACTTTTGTGCATATGTCAAGTGTTCTTCTCAGAACAATCAAACGGGTTGCTCCAAAGAAGCAGCCAATACCCCTGGCTTACAACACATGAAATGACAGGGTTTCTGTAGTCTCCCCCACTCGCAACAAGGTAAAAGCTAAATACACGTTCCTGAGCCCAGCGTATTTTTGTAAGAAAGTTTCTGGGACTCATGGCTCAGGAATGGAGGTTCGGCCAGGCGATGAGGTCAGAGAAAAGCCCTGTGCCATGACTCCACACACACCCTGGTCCATGTTTTGCACCTGGGAATCACCATCTTTTCCCACCCAGGACTCTCTGGACATACGTGCACCGCCCCCCCCCCCCCCCCCGACCCCAGGAGCAGCCTGGAGCCATTGGTTTTATTATGCTGGTTTAGATACTGACCTCTCTCTCTAGACAACACGCTTCGCAAGAACAAAGGCTGAGCTTATTACTCTCAGCATCCCTGTGGCCAGACTCACTGAGTGCTGCCACACAATGAATGCCCAGTAAATAGTTATGGGCTGACGATGAATAAACGGCTCAGTTCACAGACTTACATCTAGGCTGTCTTCTCTGGCTCTTGTAGAGGAGATGAGAGGAACCTGTTGCTCAGCAAGAGCCGTCAAGAGCTTGAGATCTGGAGTCCTGCAGCCAGGCTCTGTTTCTTCCCTGCTGCATGACATGGGGCAAGTTGCTTGATCACTCTGAGCCTGCACTGAATTCTCGTCTGGCTCATGAAAATGATAACCCTACGTACGGCACTGTCCTTGTGAGGGTTAAGCGGGAGAATGCATAGTAATACGCACTTATTAGCAATAGTATTATTATCATTTCCTGTGCCTGTTAACAACCTGGCAGATTGGTTCAGCCACTCACCCATTTGTATGTTTCAGGGCCATAGACTATTCTTCAGCCTGTCCTGGGGTCCTGAGGAGGATGCATTCAGACTTTTCAAATACGGTGGGCCGCCTGGGTGGCTCAGTCAGTTAAGCATCCGACTCCTGGTTTCGGCTCAGGTCATGATCTCAGGGTTGTGAGATCGAGCCCCATGTTAGGCTCCGTGCTCAGCAGGGAGTCTGTTTGAGGATTCTCTCCTTCTCTCTCTTTGCTCTTCCCCACCCCTGCTTGTGCTCTCTCTCAAAAATAAATAAACAAATAAACAAAATCTTAAAAAAAACCCACTTTTCAAATATGGTCACTAAAAGTTACTGCTCTGTCACTAAAGTTCTCTGCCTTTAATCTCAGCCTAATTTCTTTTGGGTTCCTGAGGGCCTGGGGACTGTGGGGCCCTGTCCTTTCTGACTCCCCTTGATACAGTTTTCATCTGTTTGGACGCAGAGATGACCTTCCACCTATAGAGCCCCCTTATGGGGTATTTCTGGCCTCATCTGCAGGACTAGGCATGAGAGGTGGGTGGATACCATCTGGGCTCACAGGGACCCCATGGGGCACCAGCTTGAATCCTGGATGGTTAGCCCTGAAAGAATCCTGAGAAATTGTGGGCCAGCTTTTTTTGTTCAAATGGGGAAACAGGGTCAACCCCGGTCATTGAGCTTAGGTTCGTGGCAGGGAGGACTTGAATTTGACTCCTCAATTTGTTACTAGTACCCACGATTTAGGTCTGAGGCACTCCTCACAGAACTGGTCAGCTATTTGGAGCCTTGTGGCCTTATAAACTATTTATTAATTACCTTTATTATTAAAAAGTTCAAACCTACTAAAAAGTATAAAGAAGAGTATCATAACCACCATCGTATCTACCACCCAGAATTAACAGATGTCAACATGGTCATATTTGCTTCAGCTCTTTTATTTATAAGAAATAAAAAATTAACAGGCCTATGGCATTAAACACTGTCTATGTGCTGGTGACTCCCAATTTATATCTCCAGCCGTGGCCTTTCTTTTGAACTCCAGCCCCATATTTCTGGCTGCTACTCAACATATCTCCATGTGGATGTTGAACAGCATTTCAAACCCCGTCCCCAACTGAGGTGCTGCTCCTCACCTCACTTCCAACCAGATCCCCCCTGGGTCTCATCTACCTCCACCCCTGCTACCCGGTTTGGGCCATCATCACCCCCTGGGAAGATTCAGCTCATTTCCTACCTGGGCCCCTTACATCTTCCCTTCCCTTGCCCTAGACCCTTGGACCATGTTTTCTTTATTATAAAAATACTGCAGGGAAGGTCCCCATTCATGTCATGTACATCAGTATATAAAACTCACTCATCCCTAAAGGATGGCTAGGTGGTAGGGGGGCAATCACTCTCCCAAGATCTTATACTAATTTACACTCCCTCAAGCAATTTCTGAGAGTTCCCATTTCCCCAGTTCCTCCTCCAGTGCTTCCTGTATTCAGACTTTCAAATGTTTGCCCATCTGATAAGTGTGAAGAAGTATAATGGTACCTCACAGCAGTGTAATTTGCATGTCCCTGCCTCCCAGCTTCTTTGGCCATTAACCTCCAGATGGTGGTGAGCCATGGTCTAGTTGTTCTCATACTGATCGTGGGCTTCTCAGCAGCCTTTCACACTCTAGCAAGAGAGAGCATAGTGAATATTATGGGCAGCAGTCCTTCGCACATGGCTAACATTCTGACTCTTCCATCTCCCTTATCCCTGTGAACCCCAACTGTAAGATGGGGGTCACTGGGTCTACTCATGGAGCGGGCATTTAGCGTAGAAGTGCTTAAGGAATGGTAGATATTATTAAGATTTTGTTTGTGATGGCATGCCATGTTTATAGACAGCTTGATACGGAGGCAGATACACCTGGAGTTTGGCCTCGATGCTTTGGCAAGGCATATCACCTTTCCAAACAACAGTTTGCCATCTTTAGAAGGGAGATGATAATAAGTGGAAGGAGCAGGACAGGAGATGCGAGGATAGAAAAATCAAAGGAGCAGTAGGAAGCCGTAAAGAACGTAAAGGGCAAATATCTTTGTCACAAATCTGTTCCATGGCCTGGCCTGGAAAAAAGCATGACGCAGAGAGGTGACAGAGCCCCAAACCCTGACGGGCTGGGCTTTGGGGTGGGAGGCTGGTTGAGAGGAGCAGGGGCAGCACCCTCCTTCCCCATGCATTACTCCTCCCCTGCTGGACTAACGAGATGCCTCCTTCTCTGTGATCCAAGTCCTGAAGGTCTTATCATCAGGAAGAGGTTCTGTAGTCTAAGGTTCTTCCCATTTCCTTTATTTTTTTTTCACATTTCCTTTAAATATATGTTTCTAGACATTTGTTCCAACAGCTAAGGTAACAGTGGGTATCTGTGTGTGTGTAAGAGAGAGACAGAAAGACGGAGAGACTGAGAAAGCTGCACTTGCCAGGGAGTCTGGGGCTGTTCTGTCTCAGGATAGCTCCAAGAAAGCCTCTTCCCTCCAATCAAAATATATACATCCACACAGAATTCTGTTTTCCTGGCTCCCGCTTCCATTCACGGAGCCCAGGTAAAAAACCCCCAACCAGTGCGTGGCCAGCCTCTGAGGACGTGGGTCTCAGCTCTGGGGATTGTAAAAATCAGGCCAAGGCTAATTAGGAGCCACCTTGCTCAATGCTCAATCACCTGCGTGCTCGGCAGACTTCACAGACTCTCCAGAGCTTGCGGCTGCTGGTTAATTACATAGGACTCCAGCTCCAGGGCTGTAATTCAGTACCCACTGGGCAAGTGAAACCCTCTGCTTTGCACACGGCCCTAGAGGAAGGATGAGTAAGGCCAAAGTCAACAATTACCCACACTCATGGCCCCCAGCAGCAAAGTGGCTGGCCCGGGTTGGCTGGCAGCCCAGATTAGGGCTTTGGAGATGGGGCAAGAGGCTCACGTCTGTCCATCCATCTTTCCTTCGTTCTTCTTCCTACTTCCTTCCCTCCCTCCCTCCCTCCCTCCCTCCCTCCCTCCCATCAATCATTCAGCAAACATTCAGGGCCTACTGTGCACTAGGCTTCAGGTTAGCCCTCGGGATGGGGTAAGTGAGCCAGACACAGGGCCTGGTTATCAGGAACTTGCTTTTGCAGGGGCGATAAGTATGTCAATAGCTGTCAGAAAAAGAGAAGGCGAGCAGGACATAGGGCACACAAGTGCAGAGTGGCGCTTGAATGACCCTGACATTCAGTAGCTCCTTAGATTTTGTGCCCTGGGCGCCTCACTTGCCTTCTCTGGTCTCGGCCCTTCATTTCTCCCAGTCTAGGTAAGCTCTGAGCAACTCATGGAATGTGGGGGGGTTCACCCTGTGCAAGTTCACAGCCCCGGGGGTTCAGGGAGGTGTATCACAGGGGCTGCTGCAGATGGGATGCTAGGTCTCATCCCTCCTCTCTTCCCCTGTTTAAATGGGGCAGGGGCGCCGGGTGGCTCAGTTGGTTAAGCGTCTGCCTTCGGCTCAGGTCATGATCTCAGGGTCCTGGGATCAAGCCCTGCTTGGGCTCCTTGCTCGGGGGTTGGGGGGTGGTGGTGAGTCTGCTTGTATCTCTCCCTCTGCTTATGCTCTTTCTTTTTCTCTCAAATAAATAAATAAAATCTTTTTTTTTTAAATGGGGCAGCTGCTCTTTTTAAACTCTGTTTTGTCTTGTGCATCCCACCCACCTCCTCTCACATAATAATTGTATCTGGGGTGCAGGTGGTGTTGCCAATAGAAGCAGTGGGAAAACCATTATACCAGCCTTGCCTTCAAGGCTAGTGGACTTGCCCAAGGGAATGGTGGGTGCTTGCAGATCTGCACCTGAAATCTCAATGAGAACTCTGGCCCAATGACCGTCCTTGTTTTCTCTCTTTTTAAGATAATTATTTATATTCTGAATGATCTAAAAAACAGATAAGAATAGAAAGTCAAATATGGAAACTTCCAGTGTTAGCAAATATTAACATTAAGTCCTATTCATTTCAATGACTTAAAGAACAAAACAAAGAGAGTGGAAACCTCCCATGTAAACTTCCCATATCTTGTTCCGACCCCACCACCAGACCCGAGAACTAATTTCTCCAAGTGTTTACCATGCCCATGCATGCTTTTCTACTTTTACTACATATATATGTACCTATAAAAATTACATGGTCTTGTTTTACAAGTTTGTAAACCTCATATAAAATGGCATCATTCTCCATGGAGCCTTTTACAACTTTTTTTTTTTGCTCTTTTTGTCCAGTATTTTGAAATTTATGATTTATTTACAAGACTATTTCACAGTTCGATCCTTTTCCCTGTTGATGAGCATTTAGGCGTTTCCCCTTTTCCATTATTATGAACATTGCTGCGATGGATTGCCACATATATGTGCTAGATTGTGACATGTGCTAGAGTTTCTCTGGGGGTAAAGCTGGGAGCAGACTTGCTGGATGGAAGGTCATGTGCTTATTCTACCTTCCTAGATATTCTCAAATTGCTCACCAAAAGTTTACACTCCTATGACCAATGTCCTCCCTGAGTGTCCTTGTCCTTGTTAACACTTGATATTGTCAGACTTATTTTTCATCAGTCTGACAGGTAAGAAATGGCATTTCCTTGGTTACTGATTTACACTTCCCTAATTGCTACTGAGGCTGAGCAGACTATTATAAGATTTTTGGCTAGGGGCACCTAGGTGGCTCAGTCGTTGGGCGTCTGCCTTCGGCTCGGGTCATGATCCCAGGGTCCTGGGATCGAGCCCCGCATCGGACTCCCTGCTCGGTGGGAAGCCTGCTTCTCTGTCTCCCACTCCCCCTGCTTGTGTTCCCTGTCTAGCTGTCTCTCTATCTGTCAAATAAATAAATAAAATCTTTAAAAAAAAAAAAAAGATTTTTGGGGGACGCCTGGGTGGCTCAGTTGGTTAAGTGTCTGCCTTCGGCTCAGGTCATGATCCCGGGGTCCTGGGATCGAGTCCCGCATCGGGCTCCCTGCGCCGCGGGGAGCCTGCTTCTCCCTCTGCCTCTGTCTCTCATGAATAAATAGGTGGAATCTTTAAAAAAAAAAAAAAGATTTTTGGCTATTTGGGTCGCCTCTCCATGGTCCAGTATTCTTGCTAACACACTGCATTCCACGATAGCTCGGTGGGGCATCGCACTAACTGATCTGATGTTGGGACCAGTTTATATCACTTTCTCTGCCACACGGCCTGCATCTGTCTTTCCATGTCACTGGTTTTTAATAATTTCCCCACTCAGAGGGCTCAAAGTGACCTTGGGTGATGAAGAAGATGAACATTCTGGTATGTCCCCAGGAAGGACACTCAGGGTCTGGTGGGGAGTGGAGGGGCAGCCTGGAGCATCCTGAGCCTTTGATTTCTCTGCAGTCACTCAGCCCCCTGGGGGAATGGTCAAGTCGGCAGAATTCATTTTAGGCTTCTGCGCTTTATCCCCTTTGTTTAGAAACCCTTCCTTCCCATTGAAATGTATTTATAGTAAGGGGTTCTGGATTTGCCCTGTAATGCCTCTCAGAAATACCTGAAGAAAGAGGGAAGCAGAAGAACTGGAATTAACATAATTCTACAACGCCAGGGCTGTAAGGGCAATAATGTGGTCCAAACAACCTCTCCATCTCAAACCCATTTACAGATAGAGAGCCTGAGGCTCTGAGCGGGGAAGTGCCTCGCCTATCATCCACCCCCCCCCCCACACTCCCAGGTGCAGATCAGCTGGGTGAAGTGATACATTGAGGAAAAAAACCTCCCTGGGCTTTGGAAACCTCCTATTTGGACTATCAAGTGTGGCCATTCCTAGAACCACCTGCTCGGATGAAGCAACCGCTTAGGGCCTCACATGATGCCAGATGCCTCACCCAGGGGTACAAAGAAGGTTTTATGGTATAATTGGGGAGCCGAAATGCCGAGAAGAAAGACCACTGGCGGGCATCACAGAACCACGTGCCCGCGCGGTGAAATAAAGCAGGGTGTCTGTCCTGCGCATGCCTCTCCCCTCCCTGTCTTCTCTCACTCTGCATTCCTTCCCCTTCGTGTCCTTTCTCCTCCTCCTCTTCTCTCATTCCTCTCTGCCTTCACACATCTCACTTTTTCTCTTGTATTTTCTCTCTCCTAAGGCACAAAGACTGGCCTGGGACTCAGGGCAATGGAGTCCTCTAAATTCACTCGCTGGTGTCACTCACCCACAAGTGCACTTCTCTGCCGGGGCCTCAGTTTCCCCAAAATGCCGAGGAGGTGTCCATAGCTAGATCACCATTCGGTCCCTCCCCATTCTGTTCTGGGAATTGGTAAAGAGACAGCTGTTGGGAAGATGCCTGGCTCTATGATTTCTGGAGGGGCGACCCCCTCAGCCAAAGTCCCAGAAAAGCAGTTTGTATTTAAAGCATTGGGATCAAAGCCACTTTTTCCAGAAACTTCATTAATTGTTCACTGTCTGCAGGCACTTTTTGGCCATGCTTTTCCTCCAAAGAGATGGGTGGGAATATAGCAGATCAGGACCTGCAGTCCCTGCAGTGAGCTCTGCCAACAGTGGGCTCACCAGACCCCCAAAGCTTCTTCCAGTTCCACAGTCTTGGCGGGGTGGTGATGTCTGTGAACTTCTGTCTGAACAGGTGTCTCGGGGAGAGGGACCAAGCCTGCAACCATCCAGCCCCTTCCCCCCTGTCCGGATTCCGCTAATAACTCGGGACCATAGTGCACTATTCCATTTGTGGATTACTCCAGGATATACATGGTTCTCTGAAGATAATCAGATCATTCCCAATTAAAGTTATGGAGGAAAAAAACAAAGACAAGAGTTTGAGGGTTGTAGAGAAGAATAATTAGCCACCACAGTCATTTTCTGTGTGGTAGATGAGTTGATGACAGAGCTGGGCGCCTCCTCAGTGCTTGCAGGGTTACTGACCTCTTGTCTTCTTGCAGCTCAGGTCTGGGAAGTCCAGCGTGAGAACGGGAGGGGTGGTCACAACAGCCTGGCTGGGCACGAAAGCCTGTGCTAGAATTCTGGACCAGAAACAGGTCTGTGTGAGCCTCAGATGGACAAGGAGGGTGCCATTGCTTTGATTCCATCCATCTCGCTCTCTCTCGCTCTCGCTCTTTCTCACTGGCCTGGGGCAGGCCATTTGACCTCCATGTCCCTGCCAGTAAAATAGGGATAATAACACACCCCTCTAAGGCTGCCTCTTACAAATAATTGGCCAGTTTTTGCAGGGCACTTTGAAGAAAATTGCTGTGAAGATGTTCTGCTGGCCCTGGAATTTTCCTTGGTGCAAATATCAAACAGACAAGGATGGCCAATGTTCTGATTCTGGCACTCTCAGCCGAACCATTTTCCCCAATTCAGTTGGAAGAGAGGAAGACGGGGGAGGGGCTGTAATCACAGCCTGGGCCTGCCTGGAATATTAAAGACACAATCCTGCCTTTGATGCCTGCCTGCAACGCTTGTTAATTTTAATAGGAAGCGAGCAGAGGCGGGAAGTTTCTGCCTGGCACAGGAAAACAGGCCGAGGCCAAAGAGGATTAGTGTCAACTCAGTTTGGATCTTATGTGGCTTTGAAGTCCTTGGCCCAGTGCTGGACAGAGTTAAAGGACAACTCCTAGATGTCAGCAGGGTGGGAGGCAGGGGGCTGGGGAAAGTGCAGACCTAACGGCCCCTCAGTTCCCAGCTCAGCCAGGAACAGACAGCCTCTGTCTCATTTTGGGAAACACCTTGGAGTCAACAATCTCTCAAGCTGTTGAATTTCTGGGGAAGCTTCAAATAGGGGTCTCCGACTAAAGTGCCTGCAGGGACTAGGCAGTTAACTCACAAGAGCAAAGTAAGCTGACTGTGCGTAACAGGGAGTGATGGGGACTGTGGCAAACACAGTAAGCTTCAGCGGAATATTGAGATTGGGGAATTAGGGTTTAATTTTGTCAGTTCTTTTCTAGGGGATTTATAGGAGAAATGTGTTGCATTTTATAGGAGATGCTGGAAGTCTGAATTGTGTGTGTGTGTGAACGATTCCAATTTTTAACCATTGACCAAAGTTGTTTATTATTTTTAAATACCCTCCTCTTGAAAAAACACACTCATAAGCCAGAGCAGCCCATGGGGCCCTGTTTTGTGACCTCTGTCTTGGAACTCTAAAGCTCTGGGGGTGCAAAAGTGCTTAAAATTCACCGAGGCCTTTGGTTACTATTTTTTAGAGACTTCAGACCAGTGCTTGGTTGAGGTAATCAGAATTACCCAGTGAGACCTTTTAAAAAACACAATTTGGGGGGGGTATTCTGATGCAGTGAACTTGGAGTGGGAGTTCGAGAGGGTCTCATATTTTTTTAACTCCTCAGATGATTCTGGTGTGTAGCCAGTTTGGGAAAACGGTGCCCTCATCAGTTCCTCTCAATGACTCTCAATCTTTTTTGAGTCATAAACCCTTTTGAGAGCTAAAAAACTTATCAACATTTTGCATAATGAAAAAGAAGATGCTCATCCAGAAAAAATTTTGCATACAATGTCAGAGGGTCTGAGCACTCTCCTATTCACAACCATCAAGTGAAAAACCTCAGCAGTACTTGATGCTAGAATCCCATGTACAAGAGTCATAAAAATGGCTTCCAAGGTCTCACTTGTATTCCTCCAGTGACAGGGAACTCATTACCTCTGGTGACAGCCTATTCCTTTTATGGGAGCATTACCAGTAGTTTTGTGGGTTCTTTTGTTTGTTTAGTTCTTGTGGGTTTTTTTTTTTTTAAAGATTTTATTTATTTATTTGAGAGAGAGAGCAAACACAAGTTGGGGGAGGGGCAGAAGGACAAGCAGACTCCCTGCTGAGTGGGTAGCCTGACGTGGGGCTTGATCCCGGGACCCTGAGATCATGACCTGAGCTGAAGTCAGATGCTTAACTGACTGAGCCCCCCAGGCGCCCCTGAAACTTTCTTAAACCCGTTTTTATTCTTGGCTCATCCTATGTCTTGGGGTAGAAGAAATCACAAGGTCCTTTGCATAAAGTAGGTTGAGGGAGGTGGCTTTTCTTTGCCTTAAACTCTTTTAAACTTCAAGGGAGACTCTCCTTTTCCTCATAGTTGAGGTTGGATGTCCATCATCCCTCCCTCTCTGCATCCACTTTGGGACTTTATAGATTTAATTCAAGCCAGGCCTCTTTTTCTGCACCTGGAAGAAACCTCATTTTGTACTCTGTAGTCTTGCTGTCTCTTTGATGGCTTTAGTCACCTGTCCTTGCCTGACACATGTATCTGGGTTTGAATGCAAACACCCCGAAGCATTCTCACTACCTTTTATCCCAGGACTTCTGGAAAAGGGAGCACATGTGCCTGCAGACATGGGCCTGAGTGAATGCCACAAGGAAGCTGGGAAAACGGCATCTTATCAGCCCTGCAGGAAGATAGCAATGACTGGCCACTTTCCATTGAATGGACATCCAGTGGGCCTGGCAGGGTCCCACTCATGCATTCATTCACACATCCATGCCACAAATATTTACCAAGTTCCCAAGGGGCGCCAGGTTTTGGGCTGCATGCTGCAGACAGAGCAACCAATAACACCAAGCAAGTTGGTGCCCTCTAAGAGTTTGTATTTTAATAGGGGAGATAGAAGACTAGCAAGTAAGCACACCCATGAATAATTACGAGGTGTGATGTGGCACGTGAGATAACTCTAGATATATTAAAGGAAACCCAATTCAGACAGAGGAGGTGATCCTTCCACTGAGAGTTGTTGGGGAAGGGTGTTCCAGGCTGACAGAACAGCATATGCAAGGGTCCTGTGGCTGAAAAGAGTTTGGTTTTTACAAGAAACCCAAAAAAGGCCAATGCAGCTAGAGACAGTAACTAAGGGGGAAGAGATAGTTCAAGAGCTTTGATTCAAATGCCAAGAAGGTTCAGCAGGTTTCATGAATGAGTGAAGGAAGCTAGGTCAGAGACAAGAGGTGAACGCTGTGATCTGTGGCAAGGTGGCACACGTGTGCCCCGTGTAAATAAAGGAGGGAGCCACCGTTCAGCTCCAGCTAGCCTCACACCTGTGGTGCTGGCACCTGTGGGTCCAGTGTTGCCAGGCCTTCTGATCTTTCAAGAGAATCCTCAAACTTCCATTTTTCTACAAAATCTTCTATTAAAAAAAAAAAAGAAAGAAAACTGAGAAGAAAAAAAAAACATCACACATTTGAGGGCCAAATGCGGCCTGCCTGGGTGCTGCCTTGTTATAACCTCTGGGCTGGGTAAATCCACAGCAGAGAATTAAAGAATTGTAGAGCAGGGAGTGTCCCCTCACTCATATAGGTAAACTGAGGCTCAAAGTACTCTCAGCTTCTAGCTCTTGCTCTGCTGGGTAGTTTCCTGAGAACACGAGCAGCCCTTCAGGCTCATTTCCTCTTTGGGGCCCAGGTAAGAACTTAACCATGGGGCTCAGTTTCCTAATTTGCACACAGGAACGTTGAGGCCAAGTTTGGCGGCTGCCTGGGGCCACAGCGTGTGGGGGTAATTAGGGTTTGTAAACAACTTTGAAGCTTCTAAGAGTAAGTACCCAGCAAAGTTCAGAAGGGGATTTCTTTCTTTCTTTTTTTTTTTTTTTAGGATTTTATTTATTTATTTGACAGAGAGAGAGACAGCGAGAGAGGGAACACAAGCAGGGGGAGTGGGAGAGGGAGAAGCAGGCTCCCCGCAGAGTGGGGAGCCCAATGTGGGATTTGATCCCAGGACCCTGGGATCATGACCTGAGCCAAAGGCAGTCGCTTAACCGACTGAGCCACCCAGGCGCCCCAGAAGGGGATTTCAAAGGGCTTGTTTCTTCAAGTGCCACCACTGTATCTGTCCCAACCTCTCCCCATCTCCAGGGGGCTTTACCCAGATGGGAAATGAACAAGAGGCTGCCCTCTGCTGCGGGATTCCAGAAAGCCCCTCCGTACATTTACGTCTCCCCATTTACGTCAACCTGTCCTTTCCTTCCCTCCTTTCTGTTCCCCTTTTCTTCCTTCGCAAACACGCCGTGAGCCCTTCCAGGTGCCCGTCACAGTAAGTCACAGCGCCGGCTCTAGGCATGCAGACTGGTGGCTCCTGCAGCCCAGGGAGTCAGAATCACACGTGCAGCACATGTAACAAGACAGAACCTTTGGAGAGAGGGTCATAGGAGCAAATAACCTATCTGGGGGTTCAGGCCCCCTCAGCACCCCCCTCCCATCCTAAATAAGTGAATACTTCACCTGAAACCTGTAGTTGAGCAGGAGTTAGCCAGAGTGAAAAGGAGAGTGGGGGGAGATAGTCTAGGTAGAAGGAGCTTCCACGATCAGGGGCTGGAGGAGGTATATAAGGGAGCTCTAAGTGTTCACACACCTGAGAGATGCCCACTGGCAGGGGCCTCGGAGCTGTCAGAGGGGGCAGGGTGGGAGAAGAATTCCTGTCCCCCCAAATGTCCTTCTAGCTAGACTAAGAATTAAATTGACTTAGGTTAATAAAAAATTACATTTAATAGCGTAGGGCTGGGGGAATCCACACACACGTGGAAATTCCAAAGACAGTCCGGCAAAATGAAGCATGTGTGTCATCCTGAACTGAGGGAGAAGTGGGTAGGGGCCTGGGACTTCAGAGCGAAGGAATGCACTTTATGGGGCCATAAGAAGAAAAGCAGATGTTCAGTAATTAGATGGTTACCCTGCCATACAGATGTCACTCAGATAAAATTTAGCTCTGGTAATAACCCTTATGCTGTAAAAGACCCCCAATTCAGATTCTTCTAGGTAATTGGAGGAGGGGCAGAGTTTCTCTTGAGCCCGCAGGGTCTTGATCGCCTTCAGCTCAAATATTCTTCATGCCAAAGTAGCCCATCTCAGGATGACCTGTCCTCACCCCCTAACACAGCCCCAGGCTGAGTGGTGGATGCGAGGCAAGGAAGCGGATAGGAGCCTGCTCACAGGGGCCCTCAGAGTGAGCGCAAGGATTGAATGACTGATTGATTTTACTTTTTAACTGTTTACCCTGAAGGTAATAGCGTAATAAGTTTCTGAATGTCAACCCGAAAGGGTACGTTAGGATTTTTTGATTGCGTTTTTTTTAGAACTCAGTGGTTATTTCCCTAGGTTGATCTTCTTAAAGGAAAAGCCTGGCAAATGAATCCCTTCTAATTCTGTTCTTCTGTGATCTTCAAATCCCCTTTCTGCACATTTTCTGTGTCCCAAGACACCACTACATTACCCGTGCAGTGGGTACTATTGTAAATCCATATTTGCGAGGAGAACACTGGCCCCGAGAGGTCATCTGCTAAGGTCACCCAGCCAGGAAGGGGCAGAGTGGGGATCTGAATCCTAGTCTATTTGTTTCCAAACCCTGGGCTCTGTCTACAAGAAGGGCATGATCAAGATAATGACCGACAGCCCGGTGATGACTCACCATCAGCCAGGTCCCATGGTAGAAAAAGCCCCTATCTGTAGAAATCTCCCTGCAAGTGTTGGATGGAGAAAAAAAAAATCCCATCTCTAACAGCAACCTCTGCGCGGAGGTGGTTCCAGGGGCAGCTTGGAGAAGCAGCAGGTCCTCTCTGCCTGTGCTTGCATACTAATGAGGCAGGGACGCCAGTGGCTAATTAACGAGGGCCTGACCTCCAGGGTTCTCAGGATGCCAGCTTTTGTCCAAGTCTTTTCTCCTTCAGAGAACACTGAGCTTGTTCCTAGACCGGATGCAGCACAAAAGGGCCTTTCAGGGCCTCCTCTGAATGAAGCGTTCTGTTCCCACCACAGCTTTTTAAAGACTTGGGGAGAAAACAGCAACCCAGAGGGACTAAGAAGTTCTGTTTTTCAAAGATGGGCAGGAGGCACGCTGCAAAGTCCCAGGACAGCCTTGCCCTGGGCCGGGCACCGGCTGCTGGCGGCTCAGAGAGGGGGCAGAGGTGCTGGCCTGGGCCTGAGCTGAGTCACGTTCCCAGCTCCCATGGTAAATTATCGCCCTTGGTTTACAGCTAGTAAACCCAAAAGGAGACTGGAGTCACTGGGATGGCTCTGGTCCAGATGCACCAGGAGATGCAGATCCTATTCTTTTCAGTCCCCAGAGGGGTCCAAAGAGGGCTCAGCCTGGGATTAATGCCATGGGTTTCTCTGTAGGAAGGCTAGGTCTGTGGTAGAGGATTTAGACCACTCATCTACATGCAGAGAGAGATGACAGAATAATACAAATGGCTTTTAGAGCAAGTGATAAGATACTCATTTATGCTTATAATAATAGAAGTGCAAATTAAAACTACAACCAGATATCATTTAAAAAAAGTCTATCTGATTGGCAGAGATGCGAAAATGTGAAGTATGTGTGTGCAGAGGCAGCGAGGAGCTAGGCATGCGCAGCCTGCGGGCCAACCACAGTCGCATCCACAATGGGGAAGGCATGTGGACTTGCACGCAGCACCTCCACTTGTGGGAAATTATTCTATATATTTATTTACACATTGTGCATGAAGAAGTGGGTGCAATTCATTGTAATTTTGCTTATAAAAGATTGGAAAAGGACTGTGTATGACAATAGGGACTGGTTCAAAGAATTATGACACATCAATGCAATGGAATTCTAGGCAGCCCTTAAAAACATGAGGTAGCCCCATATGTCCCCATATGGAAGGATCATGAAGAGATGTAGTGTTAACTGAGGAAAAGCAAGGTGCAGAATGGTGTGCATAGCAAGGATGTCATCATTTGTGGTGGGAAAGTGGGAAGAGGCTACCTAGATATCCACATTTGTATACAGACAGAATACATCTGCAAGGGGAGGCAAAAAACACATAATGGTGGTGGTTACTTCTGAGAGGGGGGCTGAGGAGCTGAAGGTCTGCTCGGCCCGGAGGCAGACTTACACTGGAGGCTTGTCTATAGCATTTGAATTAGTTTTACCTTAGGGGCGCCTGGCTGGCTCAGTTGGTAGAACACGTGCGTCTTGATCTCAGGGTTGTGAGTTTGAGCCCCATGTTAGGTGTAGAGATGACTATAAAAAAAAAAAGGGTGAATTACTTCTACCGTACTACTTTTTCAAAAGAAAGGAAGGAAAGGAGGGAGGGAGGGAGGAAGGAAGAGAGGGACAGAGGGAGGGAGGAAAGAGAGAGAGAGAGGGAGGAAGGAAAGGAAGAAACAAAGAAAAGTGTAGATAGGCAAAAAGAAAAAAATGCTCAGTGGCAATCCCACAACACTAGTAAGATTTTGGCTTATATCTTTCTGTCGTTTTTTAATTAATTTCAAAGTTAAAGAAAATTTACAAGAATAATACAAAGAACTCACATATACCTTTTACTCGGATCTGCATGTTGTCACATTTACCTCTCTCTCTCTATATATAAATATATATTTATTTTTTTAAAGATTTTATTTATTTATTCGTCAGAGAAAGAGAGCGCGCGCACAAGCAGGGGGAGCAGCAGCAGGAGAGGGAGAAGCAAGTCCTCTGCTGAGCAGGGAGCCCGATGCGGGGCTCAATCCCAGGACCCTGGGATCATGACCTGAGCCGAAGGCAGACGCTTAACTGACTGAGCCACCCAGGCGCCCTTACACATGCATTTTTAAAACACAGTAATTGGGGCGCCTGGGTGGCTCAGTTGGTTGAGCGACTGCCTTCGGCTCAGGTCATGATCCTGGAGTCCCGGGATCGAGTCCCGCATCCGGCTCCCTGCTCAGCAGGGAGTCTGCTTCTCCCTCTGACCCTCCCCCCTCTCATGCTGTCTTTCATTCTCTCTCTCTCAAATAAATAAATAAAATCTTTAAAAAAATAAAAAAAATAAAACACAGAAATTAAATTACATTCAACAAGCTACTTTGTAACCTTTGTCCCTCCCCAATGATATGCTGTGACCATCTTTATTTTAAAATTTTAGTTTTATTTATTTTTGAAGAGATAATACAGTCAGATGGTTCAAAATTCAAAGGGAACAAAAGGGGAGGCAGTGAAAAGTCTGTCTCCCTCCCCTGTGCCAGCCCTGCAGTTCTCCTTCTCTAAGGCAACAACTATTCCCTGGCTTTGTGTCTCCTTCTGCTCTTTTATATACACGTCTGATGAGAGACCAGTGAGGCCAGCATGTGGTGACCATCTTAATGAGCAGTATGTGGAGGGCTCCCCACTGACATCGTTGTTTTAGGAGGGTGGCCAGAGGCCTGCAGCTTCCCAGGATCTTTTAAGAGGCTCCCCCCCCTTTTTTTTTTTTTTTAAAGATTTTATCTATTTATTTGAGAGAGAGCAAGTGCCCATAAGGGTCGGGGGTGGGGCGCAGAGGGAGAGGGAGAAGCAGGCTTCCCACTGAGCAGGGAGCCCGATGCAGGGCTTGATCCCAGGGTCCTGGGATCGTGACCTGAGCTGAAGGCAGACGCTTAACCGACTGAGCCACCCAGGTGCCCTTAAGAGATTCCTTTTGATCCTTCTAGAAATAGCCAGGTTTCTCCTGGAACCCAGCCTGATGGATGAGCTCAACCTCCTCGCTCAGGGCTCCTCTGCCCCAGGAACTCCTGCCCTGCTGAGACATTGTCACCACCACAATCCTCGCCCTAAACAGTGTTGTCCTGCCTCACTGCCTGCAACTGTGGGAACAGGCCCTTTATATGCACAATGTCATCTTCAAAGTGCTTTTAGCTTGTTAATTGGCCACGATTCACATTAAGATGACTAAAGATCCCACACATGCCCAACAGGGGAGGGCTGATGTCACTGGCCTTGGGAACACCTTGCTGGCAACTCACTGTGGAAAGCCACCCCACCCCCCAGCCCCCGCCACCGGCTCTGACTGATAGCTGATCCTGGGAGAGGATCCCAGCTTCCCCACTTTAATGTCATCTCTGGGAGCCTCAATTATTTTGATCAGAGAAATGGGGGTGATAACGTTGTCAGGAGCACTCATCACACAGAGTGGCTGGTGCGGGGTAGCTGTTCCATAAATGTTGGTTTCCTTCACGCTCAGAAGTTACTTCCTCCACAGGGCATTTCTTGTCATCTTTCTTCTAACCTCCAGAACATCCCATATGTTCCTCTTTTAACCCTGATTGGTCCATTCTCTGCCTTGTATTACGGTGAATTGTGCCCCTGCTGCAGCTGTTAAGTCATCGAGCACGGGGCTTACGTGTAAGGCATCCTCACACCTCTCTCGGTAGGAAGCCCGGGACCCACTGTCAAATTCAGTAAACGTGTGCGTGACTGAGAGGCAGCACCAACACTGTACAAGGGCAAAGGGCCCCAGAGCCCCACTCCGTGGGCGCAGCCCAGGTCCCGTCATTCACTAGCTATGGGATCTTAGGTGAGCTACTTACCTCTTCATGCCTGGGAGTCCTGATCTGTAAAAGGGGAATAATTAATAATAGCGCCGACATCAAAAACTTGTTGCAAAGAGTAAATAAGTTAATGTGCACAGAATAGCAGCTGCCACATGGTAAGAGCTTTATAGCTCTTGGCTATTGTTAGACTAGCATCCAGCAAAGGCCCCTTCTCCTGGTGTGGCCTCCGTACATGTTTGTTAAGCTGGACTGAGAAGACTGTACCCCCATCCTGTCCTCACGAACACACACACTTGGCCGATTTTCTGAAATGCTACCATTCCTAGTTCATTCTTTGGAGTTCAGGTATTCTACCTTATTAAAATGCAAATGTTGATTTCAAATGTTAGTCCGACACTTTCTATGTGAAAGGCTTTGTACAGGAATACCACTCTGTGGCCTTAAAGTGGGAGGAGAGGACTTACTTATGCCATCACAGACCATCTTCAGAAGGAGATCCAGGAAACTGGTCTCAGGAGGGTCTCTAGGGAGGGGATCCTATGGCAAGGACTGGGGTGGGAGGGGGACTTCCTTTTCAATGTATATTCTTTAAAAATATATTCTTTTGTACCATGGTAAAATATACATGACTTAAATGTTACCTTTTTTTTTTTAAGATTTTATTTATTTGAGAGAGAATGAGCAGGATGAGGAACAGAGAGAGAGCGAGAAGCAGACTCCCTGCTGAGCAGGGAGCCCGATGCGGGACTTGATCCCAGGACCCTGGGATCATGACCTAAGCCGAAGGCAGACGCTTAACCGACTGAGCCACTCAGGCGCCCTAAATGTTACCTTTTTAACCATTTTTAACTATACAATTCAGTAGCACTAAGCACATTATCAGTGTTAACTAGCCATCACCACTATGTCCGGAACTTTTTTCTCATCCCATACAGAAATTATATTCATTAAACGATAACTCCCCATTCTGCCTCCTCCACACCCCCCAGCCCTGGTAACCTCTATTCTACTCTATGTATTTGCCTATTTTTGTACCTCATGTAAGTGGAACCATACAATATTTGTTCTTTTGTGTCTGCCTTACTTCACTTGGCTTAATATCTTCAAGGTTCCTCCATGTTGAAGCATGGAGGCAGTCCTTTTCAGGCCTGAATATTATTCCATGGTATGAATCTTATTGATTTATCCATTCATCTGTTTGATTTATCCATTCATCTGTTGATAGCTACTTGGGTTGTTACCACTTTTTGGCTACCGTGAGTAATGCTGTATGAACACTGTTGGACAAATACCTGTTTGAGTCCCTGTCTTCAATTCCTTTGGGTATATCCCCATAAGTGGAATTTCTGGATCATGTGGTAATTCTATATTTCATGTTTTGAGGAATCATCCTATTGCTTTCCACAGCGGTGGCACCATTTTGCATTCCCACCAACAGGGCACGAAGGTTCCCATTTCTTCACATCTTTGTTATATATTCTTTTATATATTTTAATTTGATAGGGTATCAAAGCATTACTGCTTCAATAATACATTAAATATTCCGAGAAGCCAGCGTTCCAAAGAGGTGAGGGTGCATGAGTGGACAAGACAGCAATGATGAAACAGGCAGCAGCCCTCTATTCAGCGGGAATGCATGATGGAGAATCCAGATTGTTGAATTCAAATATCGGTTCTGCGTTATATTGGCTGCATTGTCACACCCCCTCTTTAGGACATGGTTTTCTCAGAGGTCAGATGAAGTGTTACATGAGGCCCTCCTGAGTTCCCTTCCTGCCGTATCTGCCAAGGAGCCCACACAGAGAGGTCATAAGAGAAGTGTGGACAATGTGCCCCTCCAGGTTAGATTCCCGGTTTACATCTCCCACCTCCCTTGCCTGCTGGCTTCCACTGGCTTAGGTGATGCAGGAGACTGGGGGGGGGAGGAGAGCATGGTGGGGGTCTTCAGCGCTCAGCTCCCTCCTTGCGCTGCCACCTCGGTGAAAGCAGCTCCAGCCAGGTTCCCCTTCACTGGGCTCCTGAAACACGGTTCCTTACCCTGGGGAAGGGTTAGGAGTGGTGCGTTCGTTTCCCAGGGCTGCCATTACAACGAACCATAGACTGGGTGGCTTAAACAACAGAAATTTATTCTCTCACAGTTCTGGAAGCTAGTGGTCTGACATCAAGGTCTCTGTAGGATTGATTCCTTCTGGGGGCCATGAGAGGGAATCTGGTCCATGCTCTTCCCTTCTTCCTGGGGTTTGTTGGCCATCTTTGGCTTGTAGAAGCATGTCCCTGATCTCTGCCTTCATCTTCACGTGGCATTCTCTCTGTGTGAGTCTGTATCCAAATTTCCCCCTTTTATAAGGAAATCAGCTGTGTGGATGATGATCCCATAATGACCTCTCTTAAACTTGATGATCTCTGCAAAGACCCTCTCCAAATAAGGTCACATTATGAGGTTCTGGGGGTGAGGACTCCAACATACCTTTTTTGGGGGAGGAGGGACACAATTCAGTCCATAGTGGGTGGTCACAGCTTCCACTGCTGCTCCCTGACCCTGTGTTGGTTTCCCAAGTCCTGCCCACACCTCTGTAAATAGTTCCTTGGTTCAGTTTCTCACAATCCTGGTTGAGAACGTGCCTCTGTGTCCTGTAGGGACCCGTCAAGCCTTAGCATCTTGGCCAGTTTGTTTTTGTCTGGTCTTAAAAAAAAAAAAGAAAAAAAAAGCCCTGATCTTTGCTTCCTGCTGTCGCT